AAAATTATATGTATTTTTTACATATTAGTAGACTCTAAAATCGATTAAATAAGCCTTTGAAACCCCTAAATTGTCGAAGTTTTCGGGGGCTCCCCCAGGACCACTTTCCGAACCTTGTAATCAAAGCTCGACCACGCCCACATTGCTTTCGTCGGGGAAATCTGACACCTCGTCAGGGGCCGCCCCCCCCCCTCCGTCGGGCAAATCCTGGCGCCAACCCTGACCAAAACCATGGTCAATGTTCTTTTACTTTTGCTTCTGCCTATTTCTGGAACCAACTTCCAAATTACATATTCTTCCAACTCTTGCAACTTCAAGTCACAGCTTAAAACCTATATTATTATTATTTATTATATTATTAATATTATTATTATTATTATTATTATTATTATTATTATTATTATTATTATTATTATAGTTTTTAGGTATGTCGTAAATTTTTGACTCAGCTTTATCATGTAAATGTGATACTGTTTTGAAAGTATATAGTGTCCAAATAACTTACTGTATTTATTACCTGATTTATTATTAATATAACGATTCCATAATAAGGAGTTGAATAGCTTGGAGTTATCGATAGCCAGTGTACAAATACCAATACTTGAGAATTTCCGTCAACTTATTGTAATTCGCGTCAACATACGTCATCGACCAGCCGTCAACGAGAGTTGGTCGGTCCGGTCCGCTGGTAAAACCAAAACATGATCTTAAAGTGGGGGAATCGTTGCTCCTTTTTGATGATGTGATTGTTGTTATTGGCTTGTTAGGCCTCGTTGAAATGCCTTTATATGAAGGATTAACTGCAGCTGTCGAGAAAACAGCTGTCATTCTCGACTTAGGATCTGCTTATTCAAAGTATTTTATAAAAATTCTTATATCAATTTTTTTTAAATACTTTTTACATTCATAGACTGACACGCCTTCCCCGGCCGATAAAAGGGAGGCCTAGCTCGCTAGGTCTGGCTGCTTGCCGTGGCTTAACTAGGCCTAGCCTATTTTGTGATAGACGATCGGGCCCAAGGCGATTGGGCCCATTTTAAGACGATCGGCGATAATAAGAGTGGACGACCGAGCCCACACCAAAACGATCGGTTCCATTTAGTGTGGACTATTGGGCCCACTTTAATTCTGATTCATTGTTGTTACATTCTAAATTTATTTAACATACAGACAAGTATTTTTTATTATTAAGAATCGTAGGCCTAATTAAAATAAAATCAACATATATCTAATTTTTTTTTTTCGGAAAATAAAGACTGATTTCCTCACAGATTTTGGCAAAAAATTTAGCTTTGATCTAATCTTCTGTGCACCTATTTCCTTGCGATTTTCCATGCAAATTTGAGCTCTATGTGAGGTTCTTACCTTAGTGATATAAGGAGGCAATAAGTTAATACTCGTAGAGACTGCCTCCTCTCAATGATTCCATGTGTCAGTCATAGAAAACTTTGAAATGGTAAAGTGTTGTGCATGCGACTACATGTTATGGTAAATTGTTCCATGGTTTGATTACTCGATGTCAAAGAAAGAGAGGTATCATCATCTGCACAATTACAGTTCTGTACAGTAATGTGCCTAGGAGTAGAGGATTGCACTTTTTAATTCACATTAAAATTTTTAAAAATTTATTTATTCAGGTATAAAATATGTACAACAAGCAGGCTGAAGGCAGAAAACGTTGAATTTACAAAATGTTTACAATTTATAAACATACACACTTAATTACCAATTAATTTGTAAAAAAACATAAACAATTTGTCACTTAAGAGCACAATCTATGCGTATATTGTATATACTTTATAACATTTCAGCACCTTGTTCTCCTTATTATTTGAGCAGATATATTCATGACAAAATAAAACCAATTATGTAGTTCTTACTAATTAATTTTACTTAATTTTATTTATAATTTTATTTATAAAACATTTGTTTATGTTCTAGAGTTGGCTTTGCTGGTGAGTGCCACCCAAGAGCTATATTAAGAAGTGAAGTAAAACGAATTAAAACTGGCAAAGTTGTTAAGATATTCGGTGAACCTGACACAGAGGATGACCTTTATGACACGCTTGTTGATTTTCTTCATACAATCTACTTCAGGTATGTTGACCTACAATATTGGGCTGTGGCTATTTTTAAACCAGTTCCTACAGTAGTTTTGATTTAGAGATTTCCCAGAAATATTTCTTTAAATATGTTGACCATCACACATGTGTACAGAAAGCTTGCCATCGGAACTTAGTACGGGCTTGTCTTCCAATTACATTGTTTAGACCTAGGCTACTATGGCTAACAATAGGTACATGTATGCTTTAGACCTAGGCTACTATGGCTAACAATAGGTACATGTATACTGTCTCCATTAAAAAGGCTTCTTGTATGAATGGAATGATCTAAATAATTCTTTTGGATTTTCAGAATATGCCTTAAGGTGGTTTGACTCCTACAGTATCTCAGCAACCGGAGTTGTTGTATCCGTGTCGATGATAATTACTCAGATCACTTATTAACTTTTGAGGTTCCACAGGGCTTGAAAGTTGGTCCTGCTCTATTTAGCTTACATCAGTCCGCTTGGAGACATCAGTCCGCTTGGAGACATCATCAGGCGTCATTGTATTAAGTATTATTTTCATGCTGATGATCTGTAACTGTATCTGGATTTTGATCCTTCTCTGCCCTCTTCTGTTAATCTGGCATTGGATAGGCTTCGGTTATGTATCAAGGATGTTAAGATTTGGATGGCTAAGAATAAGTTTAAACTTAATAATAACAAAAAAAAATTCATTGTTTGTGCTTCCAAGAGGCACTTAGAGCTTGATCACGTTAGACAGGCTTCTCTGTCACTTGGTGAACTTAACATTCTACCCACTAACTCGGTCCGTAATCTTGGCGTCACATTTGATTCCATGCTGTCGCTCTCTACTCAAGTTCAGTCAGTTTGTAAATCGACCAAGTACCATATACGTAACTTATGGAGGATTCGCAAATTTATCAACTATGACACCTGTCATGCAGCAGTTCATGCACTTGTTTTATCTAGAATTAATTACTGCAATTCATTGTACTCTGAGTTGACTGTAACAGATTCTCTAAAATTACAGAAGTTGCAGAATTCTGCTGCACGTCTTATTTTTAACATCCGATCCTCTCATACTCACACTTCACATCTTCTTTGTGAACTTCACTGGCTGCCTTTTAAGCAAAGGGTTTATTTCAAATTAATGGTTCTTGCTTTCAAATCACTGTCTGGCCTATGCCCATAATATATCTGTGACTTTTTACTTGTACGTAAAAAGCAAATTCGTACCAGATCAGCTTTGAATGTTAATTTCCATCAACCTATCTTTAACAAGCGTATTGGTAACAAATCTTTTTCTCACGAGGCGCCACTCATCTGGAATAACCTTCCAGTGCACATTCGATCTTCACCATCTGTGGCTGTCTTTAGGTCTGACTTAAAAACTCGCCTCTTTAACTAATTTTCCCATTAAAAAAAATTTTTTTTTTTAATTTATTGTTGCATTATTTATTCATGATTCCAAACTTTGCCACTGCTTCTTTTGATTTGTTTACTTGTTCTGTGCTTGGGTTAGGCAATGATCACGGCTGCTTGTTGGTTGTGAAGTGCCTAAATATGTGGGGTGCAGTGCTTCGTATCTGCAAAGAAAGGCGCTTTACAAATGTTCTGATTGGATTGGATTGGATCTGATGGAAGCACGAACTCCTGCAGACCAAACCCAGTACTGTTTTGATTTTATTCATACAGGAAATCTACTCTTGAAGTATTAGGAAACTTAATCAGTTTTAAAAGTATCATATGTTTGTCCTATTCTGAGTAACTATATGACCAGTATTTTAAAAAATGATAAATAAATTTAAGTTTCTTTCTAAATTGTTTTGTAAAGACATCTGCTTGTGAATACACGGGATCGACGGGTGATTATATGCGAGTCATTCCTCTGTCCCTCATCATTTAGAGAAACTCTTGCAAAGGTGCTGTTCAAACACTATGAGGTAAGTATACTATGTCCATGGTATACTGTATAGTGTTTTATAATTACATTTTGATGCAATAGAGTGTTATTACATGTTTGATTTATGCATGGACACAAAAACATGTGAGTATTTCAGTGATTTGTCTGTAGATATTTCAAATCTTTGAATAGATTTATAGGCCTACTGTACTGTATAATTGAAACAGAAAATTCTTATATTTCAATACTTTATATTTTGTTTTTTATTTGTTAAATATACATGAGATTCAATACATTTTAACCAGTGTTTCTTTACATAGGTTCCTTCAATCCTGTATGCACCTAGCCATTTATTAGTGCTGTTTACGTTGGGAATCAACACAGCTCTGGTCATTGATTGTGGTTATAATGAAAGTCTTGTTCTTCCAATATCCTTTTTACTTCTCCTTGGAGAAAGCTGCAGTTGTAATTAAGATTAACATTTCTCTGTAATATAAAGCTTGGTAAACCTGCAAGTATTTTCTTTAATTTGTGATTACGTTTGTGAATGTACCCCAATCTTGAAGGGATGGCAGGCAATACCACTTGCAGGACATGCTATTCATAAGTAAGTTTGCTTGGTAGTGGTAGTAGTAGTACAGTAGTAGTAAGGATGGTGAAGCTGGTAGCTATAGTTG